GCGTCAGAATGATCAACAGTAATTTATTACACGAGATTAATGACTCGCGAGATGCGTTGTATTGTACGGTTATCCATGTATACGAGATTATTATGTAATTAGCCGCGTACGAGCGTAAAGTTTCCCTTTCGATTAACGCGAAACGCCGTTCTTCCGGCGCAATATCCGCTCTTCCGCGCTCCAATTATTCGCCCGCGTGAGCTGTTGCGATGAACGCAATTATTTCGGCTCAAGATTATTTCTTGCATTGCACTTTAATCCTTCGGGTCTCTCTCCGTGCCACGTACAATAAAGTTCTCTTATAAGATCGAAAGCACGCACGCGATCAAAGAAACGTTCGTCTGAAAGGTCTGCCGGTATGTGGTGATTCTCTCTCTCTCTGTTCTTCTCTTCCCCTTTCTCTCTCTTGTTCCGTCTATTGATTAAACTCACGCTTGAAACGCTCGTGGTACTCATGATAATAATTAAAGGCAGATAACCACACGCCCATCGGTTATAGCGAGTGTCCGGTGATTGCAAAAGCTCGCCGAACATCCAACGAAGTGACGACTGAGCCTCGACAACGACTCGTCTTTACGATAAATGTGCTTCACGACAACGAGCAATCCCGTTCTCGCCGCTTCAGTCTCCCATAAATTGTGAAAACGGAAGACAGACGAGAGTAATTGTCGAATAATGGCGCATTTTTTCGTCTTGTCTCAGGCAATCACTTCAACAGATTGCTATACGCCCTATACAGGATGCCGTTCTATCGTTTTTCATTTGAAACATTTTTTATGTTAAGTACTGATGCAGTAGCTCAATTAATATATTGAATATCAAAGGCTACGTATAAAAAAGCATTTCAGTTGGTTCGTGACTTTTATATTAAAGCTCGATGTATCTCATTGTAACTCTTGCAATAACTGTCTTTCACGAAAACTTATTCACGTGATATGCTATCAATACTCCTTAAAATTTAATAAGATTGGCATTACTCTTTCTTATTAAAGATATTAAGCTTTACTAAGTAGTTCGAATCATAAGCTATTGAAAGTAAAAAGTTAGGAAAAATGAACGCTTCGGTGCTTCACTCGCTGAGTGATTTCACATCTCGCGACAGAAAGTCTGCGACTATATAAATGGTTGGAAAAACGAGACGCTCTTGGATTAAAGTAACTTCGTCGGAGAATGCAAAGAGGACTGTCGGGCAGGAGAGATTCTTTCGTGAAACGGGACAGCGGATTTCACAGTCCGTGTCTTTCGCTCTTGTGTTAACGCGCGTTCCTGCGTAGATGTGTCTCCGAAATAAAATATTCCTTTCTTTCGCGCGCGAGTGTCGGGATAAATAGATGGTACGTACAAACAACACCACGTTGTAAATGTGAAGAACGTATTTCAGGAAATTCACAGAACAGCAGCCATCGTCCCTGGTCCTAAGTCTTGTAGAAGTACCGGGTAATCTCTCAGCGCTTTTGGCCATTTTCAGTCGATTGTTGGCTGCGTGCGTCACGGTCCTCGTTGTCACCTACTCGCCGTTGCTGTAAAGTAAAAATAACGAAAAAATGTCAGAGAAAAAGAGAGAAATTTGCTTGAAAAAATTGATAAAAAATTTGCGAGGATGCAAAGATGAAAATGGGGATTTACATCCTTATATACATATATTTATTTATTAATTATATACACTAAAAAAAATTATTATTTGCAAAAAAATAGATTTCTTTAAATTTAGTTTCCTTTAATTCAAAGAAGTATTGGGCATATTTAAGAAAACATTTTTCTGAGTTTAAAATATTTTCTTGAATCTACCTAATATTCTTCTTTGAATTAAGGAAACTAAAAATTCAAAGAAATCTATTTTCTTGCAAATAATTTTTTTTTTTCAGTGTATATCTACATATATACATATGCAATGTACGCAACTAAATAAGTACAATAAAAACGTCTTTAATGTAATTAAAAAGATGTAAGGCGTTAACTAGTGATATAACTAGAAAACTTTGGCGAGGAAAGGTTACTTTTGCGCCGCGTGAAATAAAACAAAAATAAAGAAACATTTTACGACTGCCTAAGGAAGCGTTTAAGAAAGTAATCAACAAGTTTTCGACTGTCTATTGCTCAAGAAAGTAATCAACGAGCTTTAGTTTCAACGTCGGAATTTTCATTGCTGCCTACTTATACTCGTTTGGACACTAGATGAAGTTAAAGCTCTTCTTGCTCCGGCTCGACGTAAACTTTGTCGAAACAACATTAGTGCAACCTCACGGTTGCCGTAGGTAACTCAACAGCTACTCGAATAGTTCTAATATAAGATATATTAACGGACCAAAAAATCATCTTTTTGATCATCCAAAAGATTTGCGTATCCATGCCCTCGTGAAATATGCTCTTAGCGATAAAAGAGATACAAAATGTATCATTTGATCATCAGACTCGCATGTCTGTCGCTGTCTGCTCAGACGAGAGTTAATAAAAATCGAAAAAAGATTTCTCATTCAGGCAATTTAGTTTACGGAATTGCGCTCAGAAAACGCTTTCTCGAAAGCGACCCTCACCTTCAGACGATAGTTGGCGAAGCACTTCTTTCCTTTCCGAAGAAGGCGAGTTAACTTTGACGTCGTTAAAATTCAGGACAGCGAGGGATGCTCCGCTTGTCGCATCGTTATGTCGCGAATGCCGACAGAGGTATCGGAAAATTGACGTAATTCGATAACCGCGTGCCCGATGGCCCTCGCCAGATATGTATGTGTGTACATCCGACGCAGATACGAAGATGTGTAATCGGCGACGTAGGACGTTGATCGAGTACCGAAAGCGTATAACTTTCGTGCCAGTTCGAGGCAAAAGCAGCACACATTGGCATCATCCCAAGCAAGGACGTCCATAGATTTTGATCCGCCGGGACCATGGTTACCCATAGGGAACCACTGTTACCTATTTTTTCGCCATATGAGTAACTTTACTTTTGCGAGCGATGTATCAATTTTATGTGAATCTTCAAGTCTTAAAGTATCTTGCGATATTCTCAAAATAAACGATTTTTATCATTTTCTTGAATTTCTTAGTGTTCGGGAGCCGATCTCGACGAGATCGTCCCGATTGATTTGTCGGGATACGCTCAGAGATGAGCGCGAAGACAGTAGGTTGCGCGAATCCTAAGATTCGCCAAAGAATCGTGAGCGGGAGAAGAACTTGAGAATTCGTGTCGTTATTCAAAAACGTTTATTTGTGCACAATATGGAGCAGGCGACGCCCGGAGCAATTCGCGTATGCGCGGAGATCTTCAGATCCGTCCTTCTGACACGGCCGTTCCGCGATTCGGATATCTTGAAGTCGGAGATCTTGCTCGCGGCCGACGCGGAGATCTTGATCGCGAGGCCGAGGACGATCGCGAAAATGATACGGGCATCAGCTCACAAACTCAGGTTTTACTGCACGCACACAACACTCAGTCTCACACAGAACAGGTTTACCGCACGCAAACAATATTCAATCTCACAACGAACAATACGAGATTTTCTTAAGGATCGTCAGCTACCGTACGAACGAGCCGACGATTCAAAGTCTTCTGCCTGCTCCGAGACTCTCCGTTCGGCAGTCGCGCCGTGGAAAACCGGAGAACACGCTTATTCGGCCAATCACGCGGAGCGTAACTCTATTTTCAAGCTTTAGTTTTTCATTATAGGATTGCTAAGGCTCGCGCGTCGAGCACGTGTTATTGTTGCGAGGCGTGGTGCCTCGACGAATAATCGCGCGCAACGCTCTTCGAGGCGCGTGATCGCGGCTCACGACTGAACGTTACCGGGCAGCGAATATCGACGAGTTTCGTTTCGACTTTCAAGCACTTAGATTTTCTTACTGTACTAATAATAATATGCCTTTCCCCTTAATATTAACAGCCGCACGAATCGATAGTACAAATTTCGGTAAGTTAGTATAAAGTGAAAACAGATCACGGCTTCCCTATCTAATGGAGCCAGCTTTAGATCTGGCACATAATATCGTTTTACTTTGCCAAGAAATGCGAAGGTTCACCTACGCTCTAATGCATCGCACCCTCTATCCCCGCTCTTCCCCTTTCCGTTCTTTCCGCGATTCTCTCGAATGCGTACACGAGTCGCATTCCACGTAAGAATGTACGAGAACGCCAAGTATATTTCGCTGCACGAGAGCTGACACGACAGATTGCATGGAATATTTCAGTTTTTTGCACGTGCAACGATTATACCCGCGCTGAAAAAGCGGTGAGATAAAGTTAATCATGTCAAAACGACGTGACAAAGTATCTACATATATGATATAGCTGTTTATCTTCTAACACAAGCCTGGTAATTATTTAATGTAATAATTTATATATAATTTAGCGTAATTTATATTTGTCGCGATATTCACTTCATTTAAATATTCGTATTATTGCACTTTATAACTCTTTCGAATTTTCTCTGAGAATTAGGATATTGCAAAAGAATATTGATTAATTCGTAATTTGATTATATCGTCGCACTATTCTGTGAATTTCGATCCGGTGCAAGATTGCAATTCGGCGGAGGAAAATTACATTTGTTGTGGTCAACTCCCGTTCGTACGTGACTTGTATACCGAACGGGAACACATAGCAACCACTCAATCTTCTCGATCGACATACACATTGTGTACGAGAAATCTTCTAAATTGCATAAAAGAAGAATAAAAATCTCATATCGTAGAAAACAACTGATCTTTTTATTCTCTAGAGTCTAGACTTTCTACCCAAGTATTCATATTTTTCTCAAAACATAATTCAAGTCCACCCGGAATTTCAAATTAATATATTTAAATGAAATAACGTTAAGATGGAAGGAAAATGTAAAATATCTCTATATACAGTCAGGCAAAATACTTTCGTTTTTAAAAATTCAACTAAACTTTCCTATAAGCGTCATTGAAAGAAAATCGAGGAACGTTATCGTACGTGATAGCACCATTTGACAGTAATGTAACAAAAAGTTAAGAGAAAGTAGCGATTGTCCCCTTTCTGTGTTTCGAGCCGTCTCTTTCTCGGTTGATGAGAGCGAAGGATAAATGGCGCATAATGAGGCCCAGAAGGAAGCAGGGCGCGGATTTACGTCGGGGATTTAATTGGGAAGGGTGGTGGATGAAGGAGAGCGGAAGACAGAGGTGATTACAGCGACGGGCGAAGAAACCTGAGGAGAAGAGATGAAAGAAGAGAGAAACCGCGAAATTAAATGGGTGTGACCCGTCCCGCGTGTGGGCGAGGCTGTTCCGTATAAGTACGCGCGAGTACGTAGAAAACTTCCCTGACGTGTGCATAAATAAATTTTTTTCTCCGCCGAGTGCAAGGTCAAAGCTTTTAGTCGCAAGGCGGACGGTTCGATGCACCGTGATTATTGACCTCCTAAAGTTTATCAGTTATCCTCTCAATTACATCACGCCAACGCGTATTCCTGATTAAGCGGAATACCGGTGGTATTTTAGCAAATGATCTGTCTTTTTTGAATAATGTACTTCTTTATGCAATACCGTATATTGCGAAAACACGCGATTCAACTCGGATGCATAGATAGCTAATTTTCAAAAAAGCAGGCGTTCCGATACAGGAATACGTAAATATGCAAATTGCCATTATCGATTCATCGAGAAATATACATATATACATTTTGTGATAATCAAGCAAAATGAATTCTGATTGATGATGTTAATTTAATCACTTAAATTAATGTACACCGTTGAATTCCGTGCAAATGAGACTGTAATGTTTATCTCGAAATTCCGCCGCTATCGCGCTTTATTTCGATTTTCTCGCACAGATCTGCTCATTATCGAATACTCATTACCTATCTCGTTGCCGACACTATTGTATCTTCTCGAACAACACGCCGATCGTCAATCGCGCATAAAAACGATTAACTCGGCGTACCGAGTACGCGCTCCAAGCGGAGAGTAGCCTGCGCGATTTTAACAGATTCGTTATCCACTTCCGGTTCAGAGGAGCGCATTAATTCGCGCTATGGAAATTTCGCTGCTCGCGTCGTTACTCCGATACGAGAGGGTTACGGGGTTGCGCGAAGTTCTGGAAATATCGTCCATTATATCCTCGATGCTTTCCATGGAAAACACGGACGCGAATCAGGACAACAGCGTAAACAACTTCGCGGCTTTCCACATCGGAAAAACACACACTCCGTTCTTCACAGCGCGAGAAAAAATATTGCGGCTACGAAAAATATACCACGCGCGTTTGTCGCGCATGCGGTTAAAACGGTTAAGTTATACTACTGTTAACTACCACAATAATATTTTTGCCAATAGGGATGTCAATATAGTCATTCAACAAATCGGATAAACCGATTTAATCAATATGAAATCATGATGTCATTTTACGTTAACTGTATTGCTTTTATAAGTAATGTAATACACGGTATACGATATATCAACGTGGTTGGAAAAAAATAAAAAGCTGAAGAAAAAAATTTGTATTTTAACATAGTAGAAAATTTTATGGAAATTTCAGATGAGAAAATCAACATATCTGCAATATCTAAATTTAAAATCCCATGAATGTATTTTGAATGTAATAATACCGTAAGTAGCGGAAATATTTTCAGTTCCTCAATTACACGTAGGTATACGCATTCGCACACAAATACGAATCAATAAATCGCTATTTATTCTCATAAAATGCTACTGTTTTGCAAAATTAGGGCTACTGATATTTTCCTGTGAGAAACTGCGAAATGACGATGTATTCATATATTTAATGAAGAAATGTTGATATATAAGTAATAAATGTGTAGTAGATATTTGACAGGCATTAGCAACTGACGTATATTACCATGAAAGTCAATATTGATTCTGTTGAAAATTAATGAGTAAACATCATTTAGTTGTACTAAATATCCAACAACAATAATGCATCGCGCGGCAGTTTGAGAGTATTAACTGCTCGCGATTGGCTTCATAAATCTTAACGCGTATATAAAATTTGACTTGCACGTAAAATATCGATCCGTCATTCAATAATGTTTGCGTTGACTGAAAACGAAAAACAAAATCGAACTGTCGTTTGCTCTCAAGCATTTTACAACTGTATCGTTGCAGAGGCAGAAAAAAAAGAGTTCTGTGAAAGAACAAAATTTGCGGATAGCCAGAGAATTCTTCGGGTGTTCCAGTATAACATTTTCAAGGCGAATGGTCGGTCTTTACTGATGGTCCGAGAAATGAATGGTCGACGGTGAACATGGACTGTGAATAAAAAGTCGCACAGCTGCGCGATACTCACGGCACTCGTGGAGAGTAAAGTCACGACCGCGGTGGCATAGCTAAATTTTTTATGGACGTGCATTCGCCATGGTTTACGATTCGGAAATTTACGGCCGGGCCGGGAAAATAATTCGAAGGAGTACGAATTACATGAGGAATTGTCCGCGGTTAAAGTTCGATCGCTATATGAAATAGTGATCCGAATCGATAAACTTTAAATCAAAGTGGATCAAATTTGACTTTCTTTCAAGAGTTTTTGATTTTGCACGCAATCGTTGGCTACCTGTTTCAAACGCGAAGCAGAGTCTAATTGAAATGGTCATGAACGTACCTCCTCGCGGTGCAATTCAAAAAATTCCCCTCTTTTAATTAAATTTCAAACGTGTTTGAATTTTAAAACTCGACCCATTGTAGATATTACAATGGACTTTATTGCGTCGATAAATTTAATTCCTCCGCAGATGAGCAGAGGATTTATCGATATTCATAAGTCGATCGCGGTGGATTAAATTCGAGCAGGATCCGCGTTCGTCGAAGCGATATCCGGGATATTGTGCGTCCTAGGGCCCGAATATCCGCGCAGCTGTCGCGGACGTCGTTCGCGGGGCGCATTGCCGATATGCAAAAAGCCCCGTAATGCGCGTACTTTTCGTACGGCAATGGGTAAAAACGGGCAATGGTAATAACCTGCAGGGGGGAAAAGCCATCGTCAGCGCGGGGATACGCGCCGCCGCTTGCGCAACGGCGTTTCTTACGGCGTCCCACGTGCTAGGAAGTCGCGCCTGAACGCCTACTTGAAAATACGACCCACGTCGGTCGTACCGGATGACGCATCGATATGCGCGCCTTCGATGCTTTTATAGACCCCCGGTGGGCCAGAAAAAGCCACCAGAGCCGGGGGCCTCTCGACGGAACGCTTCATCTTCCAGATGCGCGGGCTATATCGATCGGGCGATTCGTTCGACCGCCGCGTGGTTTGACTCGAGTTAACGATTGTACGCGCCTCTGTTTCCGATTTCCCCTCTTTACGATCTCGTGATTGTTAAAAAAACAT